TGGAATCCATCATCCTTACCGAGCCTGTTCCCTCCTTGGCTACAATACAATTAACCCTGTACAGATTGCAAGGTACAACATTTTTTTTTCCTGTGAGGCTCAAATTAAGTTTAAACACCAGCATGTGATTTATTTGCTTATTCAGCACTATGACCTGCTTTTCAGCTACACAAAGCCTCTCTCTCCCCAGGAAACATTTATCCTATCTGGGAACTGTTTACTGAGGGCAATAATGTGTAACCAGGATAAAGCACTCAGAGAAGGCAGGCTGGTACACAGATATGAGAGAAGAAGTATAGTGCATCCACACTTGTGCCTTTTTGATTCCAGTTTTCTTTTTCCCATGAACAGCAAAGGCAGCAAGGTAAATTATTGCCACACAGAACTAAAGAGCAAAATAATCCATGTCTTGCTCTGAAGCATCACAAGAAACTAAGTGCATACAAGAAACCACGAATCTCTGCTGCTACACTGTTCCCTGCTTTGCTGAGAAGACAGAGCAAAGGGAAGAGGGAAAAGAGAAATCAGACATTCAGCCTTCAGCACGAATTAATGAAGGGCAGGGTCACAGAAACAGAATATCCCGAGTAGGAAGGAACCCAACAAGGAACATCGAAGTCCAACTCTTGGCCCCATACAGGACCACCCAAAAATCAGATCATATGCCTGAGAGTGTTGCCCAGATGCCTCCTGAACTCCAGCAGCTCAGTGCTACGGCCATTTCCTTGGTGAGCCTGTCCTGTGCCCACCAACAACTGGTGGGGAACCTTTTCCTGATATTCAACCTGACCTTCCTCATCACAGCTTCATGCCACTGGATAGAAAGGGAAAGCAAATTTGAAGAGATGCTTGATCTCTCAAGAGATGGGCAGTACCAAACCCTTCCTGAACTTGTTTCCACTCATTAAGCCCAAGCAGTTTGCTGGCTCACACCCACAAAGAAGTAGAAATTGCCACACAGTGCCTGAGAGTTACATGAAGCATATCCCAACTGCACTGACAGGAAAACTGCAACCAGAATCAGGACTTTACCTCGCCCTTCCAGTTCAGCCAGGTTAGAGGCAGCCCCCCAAGCCCACGGCGCATTTCAGCCGGCTTTAACCAACAGCCCTGCAAACCTTCCTTGGCCACACAGCCAGGAACCAAGCCTGGGTCACCCCAGAAAGCTCTCAGGTCTCTGAGCACCTCGCCAGCACAGCCCAGGCCTCAGCAGCTAAAACTCACCTCTGATCCACCGGTACCACCTGGTGTGAGTTGTCCTTCAGATGAGCTAGAAACACGAGTGATAAGCAATGCTTTCATACATACCTTGAGAAAATTTAATTTTTGAAAAATAAATATTTATGGGGAATTAAATGTCTCTATGAAATGAGAATGACATTTTCCCATTAATATTTCACTAACCATTTAATTGTGGGAGCATGTGGGTTTTCCCAAAGCAGAAGCGATGAGCTTGAAGCATCGCGCATATCCCAGACCTCTGAGTACTGCTTAGTGCTGTGTCATCTCATGAACTAAGCCATTCTTCCTAAGATCAACCACAGAATTTCTGAATCCAAACGCATTCCTATCTGAGCCTCAATAGATACCCCAGGACAAACCATCCATCCTGGAGGTGTTCATGCACCAAAACCCTCCAACACACGGCACAGGGGAGGGCTGGCTGCACGGACCCACTCACCAAGACTTGGCCCAACTTTCTTCTAGGGGATTTCCTCCAGCTACTCTCACCCCTTCTAGGCAAACTTCCAGCTGCCTGAAGCCACTGGGAAATGCACTGGTCCCCACACCAGCACCATGTGGGACTCCACATCCTGGCAGGTTGGCACAGCTCAGCAGACCCAAAAAGCGCTTTATTTGCAGACTAAGAAGCCTGACATCAGAGCTGCCTCTTACCAGCAGCTCCCTGCCCAGCTGAACTTCTTGCCCTTTGCTTGCTGGCAAGGGCAGATGACTCAAACTTCTTAGTTGTAACTTCCCACCCAGTTAAAATACTTGGCAAGGACAAAAAAATGAAAATAAATTGAAGGGCATCCAACAAAGCTTAGGTCATACAGAGGGAAGAGTTTTGCAGTGCTGTTCGTACCATGCCTGCTTTCAAGCAGTGTTTTGAGATTTTCTTGGGGGGAAAAAAAAGAAAAAAGGCTTTTCCATTAAAACTGCACATTCTAAGTTTGGAAATCACTTCACATAGCCAGCTGTAACAACACAGGACAAAAAGCAAAGCAGCCAATTGGTCAACTAAAGAAACTATCAAAGGACAGCAAATTAAGGATTCCTTATGAGCTTTAACAAAGAAATACTTTTCCAACAGAAAGAAAAGGATGGTGTTGTGGAAAGAGCTTTTAAAACGGAACACTTGTGTGCAATTTTGCAGATAGCATCTTACTCAGAGGGAGTGGGGTAGATTGATCTCTAAAGACTCTTAAAAGGTTTTGCAGTGGAAAAATAGTTGCAAGGCATACAGTCAGATAATTAACTGTGCAGCCCAGGCTGCCAGCTGCTCACTCAAATACTCCAGATGGCTCCTCCTCTAAAACATCATCATTTGATCTTGGTAATCAAATTATCTCCCACTCTTACAATCCTAAGTGAGGCAAGGCTCGTATAAAGAGATGATATATTTTATTCGACTGAAACGGCTTGCAAAAGCAATATAAATGAGCTTTCAAGGCACTCTGTCTCTCTTAATTGTATCAAAGCTCACCATCTCCAGCCCTTTAACACCTTTTCTTTTCCTGGCATAGGCTGCTGTTGCCACCACATCCAACCCAAAAGCACCGTTCGTGTTTGCACGCCACACACTGAGGCACAGAAATCCATAACTTCCCAGTGGGAATTGGGACATGCCACTGGACACAGCACTGGGAGACTCAGTATCCTCAAGCATGTAGGCTGGATTCATTACACCAAAACGCAATCCAGCAGAGTTGCCCAAAGTGACTGCCTGTGTGCTTTTTGAGGCCTTGATACAGACCTTAGGATACAGCGTGCCAGAAACAGAAATCTTCTTTTCTTTTCATTCTTTGGAGCTCTTCTGATCAGGCACATCTCTGGATGTATTTGAGTAGAAACTGATCATGGCTGGCAAGGTCCCATCCTGGGAAAATAGAACCCAACCAGTGCAGTGCCGATCTACAACTGAAAAGAAAAATTAAACTAGAAATTTCTCAATGCTTTCAGCAAACGTTGAGCTTGGACAGTTTAAAAAAGCCAGCTGAAACATTCAAAGCCACAACTTCCCAAAGCATGCACTCTTGCTATTATGAACACAGTTTTAAACTCCGGCAATATTTAAATCAACCTCCCCCCGTAAAGTTTGGTATCAATTTTGCCTCTCAAACCTACTTACAAGAGACGATGAAAATCGGCGCTACAGCTGATCAGAAGAAACCATTTATTATTGCAGTGGGTGGTTGGCATCTGAAAATCTAAACCCCAATCGGATCATTTCGTAGTAGGATTATTCCCCACCGAAATTTTGCACTAAACTTCATCACCCACTCAATTCCAGTTTTTCGTAGCAGCTGCACTTTCATGTTACAGACTGGAGAGCAAAGAACAAAGCAGCTTGCTAAAGACCATGAATGGGGAAAAGGAGTCGGACCCGGGCTGGGAAACTATGGAGAAGGATAACAAGAATTATCCCAGAATGGATGAGAGTTTGAGCATTAAAAAAAACTAGAACCACGAGTTGATGGAAAGCCATTCCCTTCCATGAAAAACCATGAAGAACAGTAAAAAGCAAATGAAGAGGAAAGATCCTTCATAAATGTCTCAGAATACAAGAACTGGGGACTCTACAAATGAAATCAGGTGGTGTGGTTTGAAACAAACAGAAGGAAGCACTTTTTCACTCAGCACATAATTATATTGTAGCATTATTAGACACAGGATGTTGTAGAGGCTAGAAGTAAATAGATTTAGGGAAAAGAAAAAGAAAGAAAAAAAAAAGAAAACAGCACTTCTGTGAATTTGCCAAATTTATCAAGGGCTACTGAAGCTGATCCTCCCTTGGCAAGCTCAACAGGCTCTGGCTGGCAAGCTCTGAGCAGTATTCCAGAGGTGCAGGAGAGTGCCCTCACAGACCTAACCACCACACAGTGCTGTTAGATGGGGAGAGTGGGACACGGCCATCACACGGCACAGGACAGCCACTGCTGGGTGCACTGGGGAGCCCCCTGGATTCACCGCGCTCAGATCCCTACGTCACAGCAAGACGGATGTCCTCCACTTGGACACAGGCTGCTGGGCACTTGGATCTCATTCCGTGCTACCATAGCAAGTACTTTGGTGTCATCCTCATCAAAGCCACATCTAAAAAGCTGGAGCCTTTGTACTCTGATTTCAAAGGATATCAACCTGTTTCTTTGTTCACAGGACAGGACATAACCATGGCCTTCTTGAAACAGCACCTATCTCAGTGAGTTGTACAGAGCAAAAAAAAATGCATTTCAGGTCTCTGTCACGTCATCTTTGACATACCTCCTTTTATTAAGCAAGAAGTTTAAATGCAGGTGGCTGCCTTGTAGGCAGCAATTTTATACTTACTTCAATTTTGTCATTGCTCAAGTGCATTTTGCACTACAACCTGAGATTTATTTCCCTTTTCAGAGAGAAAGTTCTGTAGTTATTTTGCTTTATGCCTTCCTGTACTGTAGAAAAGAAGAGTAAAAGATTTTACCAACATCTGCTTTCTAAGGGTGTGTAATTTATCTCCCTTATGAATAAAGTAGTTACTGTGAAGCAATCCATTAAGTTTCCTCTAATTGCTATGCATGAGAAAAAAAAAAAAAAAACTTCTATTATTTGAAAAACCATCCTGTGAAGAGTTACAAGTATATAATGAGGAAGCATTTCTTGATCACTCGGGGCGCTGCAAAAAGACAACATACATCCAGCTCACGTTGGACCAGAAATACTAGAGAACTTCCAAAAGACTCAGCGGCAGCTCATTTACAAATATACTATTTATAATGAATGCATTGATACAGAATGACTCTTATAAAAAAGCAAGGCAATCTTTTATATAGACATAACAATCAACATTACAATAATTCAGATTAAAAGTACATTTTTGTAGACTGTTTACACTCTTGTTTAGCTTTTTAACCACAAAGTTAGCGTGGTCTGGTATTTTTCCACAGTAAAAGTCCTGTGCAGTCCTGGTTAAGACCTAAACATCAGAATATTAAACATCGTTTTCTGACCTTCGCCAGCATAAAAACAAAAACCACTTGTAGATACTATCGGTTGTTTGTAATTGTCCTCACCGTGCCTTGAAGTTTGTGTTGTGCAAATTACTGCCAACTGCACATCTAATTAGAAGCTATTCCCAGCATGCCAATCGGATACAACTGAGGTGTGGTTTGACCATACGAAAGTTCTTAGTTGAATCCAGATATGAAGACTCTCCAGCTAAGTCTGTACTGATTCAGAAATTTAAATTCAAAACAAAATAAACAAAAACGCTCTGATAAAGCTCTGTGATTTTTAAATAAAAGCTATTTTTCCAACTCCCAGGATCAGAGATGATACTTGAATTTCACGTGATACAATGGGTTTAAGTGCTAACCAGCCAGACAGTTTGAGTACTACTTTACTAAATCATGTACAAACACGACCTTCAAGAAGTCTGAACATGCACTTTCTCACACAACATTAGCAAAAGATGGACAAACTGCAGGGAAAACCTAAACCAAAAAGAGGCACTGAAGCAAATATTTTACAGCATAAATCTCTTTCCAAAAAGGGGCGTATGAATTTAGAAGCCTCCAATAGCATCTGACAAACTACAAAGTGCCCATCAGATAGCTCTGTGGCCCTGCTGTACGCGCAGCCCTTCTGCTGCGTTTAGGCTAGAAAATGTGTTTAGGAAGTTGAATACGGGACAAGAAGAGACAGAACTGTAATGGTTTTATACTATCTAAACTTAAAACATTTTTGCAGGGAGTAACAGCTTTCTATGTAGCAAATTGAAATGCAACGCAACCAAAATGAGTCATAATGGCAATAAAACCTTCTCTTTCTTATTTAAGAAATCCCTAATCTGTTTTATGCCTGACCAAATTTCCGTAACACGGTGTAGTCTGTAGTACAGTAATTCAGCTTCTGCTATGTCAAGGCATGATTCAGGACAGTGTCTTTATAGAGCATATGTATATGCACATATTTTTATGTACATTGCAGGGAGACATTCAAAATAGATACAAAGGTCATTATTTTCACCCAAAGTAAAGATTGTCACGTTTTACCCCTGTAAATTATTTGGGAGATAACAGTAGGACAAGGCAGACAAAAATATGAGTATTTGGGGATGACCTGTTTCTGCATTCTGCTTTGGAAGAAGCCCTAAGGAGTTCATTTCACCACTCTGTCAATGTTTTCACACAAACATAGATACATATAACACGTATGTATGCATACATACACTTGCCAGGATGAAGTTATTTCCGTTCATATTTTAATTGATTAGGCCCAACAAAATATTGAAACACGTAGAAATAAACCCAGCACGTGCCCAACGTCATCAGGCATTAAATGCCATTTAGAACCCAACCCATTAACAAGCCAGCATCCTGGCAAATGTAGAAGTCTGTTATGGTCGAAACAGCTGGATCTGTATGGCTCTATCAATGGATCTGGATATAAATCCACGTGTGCACATATGGAGATTTATATGTGCCTACTCCCAATCCATTCCATATGCTTAATATCTAAACTTTGGGATAATTTTAAAGAAACTTTCAAATTTTCCCTTCAGAATGCATAAAATTAAACTTCTAAAACAGGGCTCGGGATGATCTGGCGTTGCAACAACCATACTAATACAAAGAGTTTGAAAAAATATCCTGCTTTTAATATAGCAATGAATTAAAACATAGCTTTATTTATCCCTAAAAGTGTAATGAAAAGAATACTTTGTTTTTAAGCAAGTGTAACGAGCAAAATTTCGGTAGCCAACCCATCCACAAGAATTTATCTGAGAGAGGGTGAGCTGCCATCATACAGTCATGAACCATGTACCTTAACAAGGTGAATAACTGACGTATTTACAAACTAAGCAAATTTAATCCTGTCAGCTCTTATAAAAATGAGATTGAGGAGCAGACAAGGAATGAGACCAAGACGCCTGAAAACACAAGGGGTCGCCACTTTTGTTTCAAAGAACCGTACTAATCAATCCATTTTCCCCCAGTGACCTGAGGGCACAAATGTGGGTTTAGCAGTCTATTCCAAAGTTAGATTACAGTCTTGAAATTATGCATCACAGCATCTTCATATTTTAACACCTTAATGCTGAGAACGATTAACTTCAGGCAGAACTGTAAGAAAACAGCCTTTCATAAACTAAATTCTAAACTGAAAAGCTACAGTAGATGTAAAAAAGAAACAAGGCAGGGAGGGGGGAAGAGGTGGGGGCAGAGTTATTGTGTGAGAAAGAAAAGAATATTACTTAGTAAAATCCAGTGACATCTACAATAGTTTTACAGCACATTTAAGCCCTCTAAGGTTTTATATCTCCACCTGCCTTCCATTTAAAACTTACTCCTTGTTAATGAAAAGACATAAGACAAAGCAGAATGCAATGTTGGGAGAAAAAAAAAGAACAAAAAAGCAAAACTAGATGAAGGCAATACATGTAAGTAAGCATGCCTGAAAGCCAGAAATAACATTCCCCCAAGCTTCTGCGCATGAAATAAATTTCTCATAGCATCAGCTGATTTGATTTTGTTCAAAAGATAAAGTCCTCTAAACCACACTACCCCAGCAGCAACTCCAGCAAGTATGAACTGGACAGCTCTTTAGTAAACGTGGAATGCAACCGCCTCGAGCTCCTGCCCTCCTGGAAAAGGGCAACTGGCCCTGCAAGTGCAGCAACAGCATCCATTTCCCTGAAGCATCTTCTGCCTTGTGAGCAACCAAGGGAGTTGCAGTAAAACTGAATGTCTACTACTTACAGTGTTTCTCTCGAGCTATCGACAGCGATGCACAAATGAAAAAGGTGCCTCTTTTTTAACAGATCGGTTTAATACTGAAACAGATAGGATGAAGTTAAAAAAAAAAAAAAAAGAATAATCAAGGTACTGAACTGAATATTTTGAAGCAAGTGCCCCAGCTGTGGGGAAAAGTGCATTTAGTTCAGCAGCAAAACAGCACAGTGTGAAGATATTGTGCTTGGACACAGAAGTTCCATAATGGAAGGAGGTACAAGGCAAGTCAAGATATAAAACCGTAGTACATTGTTACCAACTTTAAAACTTACATATATTGCAGTGTTCAAAAGTAAGACACATTCATTTATTGTACAAGGACTATAAGGAATCCTTAAAATTGCCTGTTGTAGTTTATGACTCAACACTGTAATAAAAATGTACATATATATTATTTCCTTGCCACTTAACTGTACTGTTAGACCTCGTGGAGTCGTTACTTCACAAAAAAGAAAACCGCTTCTCACTCCGTGTTTTCACCAATCTGAAAAGGTTTACTTGTGCTAGAAAAGACCAATTGCAAAAGGCTCAGTTCAGATATGTTATGCCTGCAACTGATAATTCAGGGAAGCAAGACTTAAAAGAATTCAAGCTTTTTTTTTTCCTTTTTTTTTCTTTTTCCTTTTCTTTCATTTTGACTGCATCCTTTTCACCTGCCAGTTGTTCTGATGAGTATATGTCTTTAGTATACAAACCGGTTGATAAAAATTCATCAGCAGAGGCATATAAATTCTAGATATGACTGATTAAAACAGAGCAAATCAAAATAAAACAAAATCCAGTGATTTACTCTGACTGTAAACAATATAAAAACACCATTTGCTTCAAATCTCAAAATAAGTTAAAAGAAAATCCCAACCTCAGGACACGTGACCCTTACAGGTTTTGACACACACACACAAAAAAAAAAAAAAAAAAAAAGAGGGATTAAACAGAAAAGTTCATTATATAAAGGTTATATGTTTCTCTTAACTGAAAGTAAATCTAAGCAAAACTACCTTTGTCCCTTAAATTTGAGTTCATTGGCAATTGCTTTAAATGAACTGGCATGTCCAGGTTACTCAACTTCCATCAAATTCAGCAAAGAAAACTTAGACAAGCATTTTTACAGATAAAAAAAAAAATCTAAATGGCTATGATTCCTCTATTAGCAGAAACACATAATGCAGTCTTAAATTTGCCGTTTTATATTATTTATATATTTATATATATATATAATATAATATAAACCACATATATTATATTATATATACATACGCAGACAATTAAAACATTAATGCAGTTTGTGTTTTTGTACAGTGTATTGGACAATCCGATCAGCATCAGACCATGGCACGGTATGGTCCCTGCATCTTTAGGAACTGAATGATGAAAGAGGGTCCTCCTGCAACAATCTGAGGCGGAAGGTGGCTGAGTGGGCAGTTCTCAATACTCATTATTGACAGTTTGCTGCAAAGAGCCAGCTCAAAGGGAAGGCTGTGCAGGTTGGGGTTGTCATTCAAATACAGTTCTTCCAGATTCTCCAGTGTACCTGGTTAAAATAAAATAATACAGAGAAGTACGTTTTGGTTCACGCAGTTTTTAACTGTTAGAAGCTTTAAGTCCACTTGGAGACTCTTCACAATGTAAAATCTAGAGTCAGTTACTCATCTAAACTATTTTCAAGCCCAGCACGTTTTCTGTTCGCAAGCATTGGAATGAGAGCCACATCTGCTTTGGTTTTCCTGTGAAAAGGGCCATTACAATATCTCCTGTAGATAGCAATTGAAAATATGCCTAGTAACAGAGCAGATAGGGATTTTTACCTTAACTGTTCAGCCCAGCACTTTGCAGATGCAGGCAATGGTGAAGAGCTACCAAATACCAAGGGTCTAGAAAACATTTATACTACTTGGTACCTATTATCGCTAATAAAATATCTATATCATAGCTATCACATCTATTAGAAGCTTAAGGTGTAACTGTGATGTGCCACAGGAAGAAAGCAGGAGAGATCACAGCAGTGGATTTACTAAATGCAACAAACCCATTAATTTCTTAATCCAAATTTTACATCTCTACTACAGATACTGTAATACAGACTAACCAGATGTTTGAACATGGAGTAAAGTTTCTAAAGATTTCAGTTACCTCCACAGCAATCAATTATAAAAATAAACATACAACTTTGAAATACACTGCAAACTTACAAGTTTGCACACACACAATCCTCCCCCATTTTACACCTATCACACCATAAATGTCTTCTGTGCTCTGATAACCTATTTCATCTCCCATAAGAGAAAGAGCAGAAGCAAGGGCTTGATGTCTGACTGAATAAAACAAACCCATTCCTCCCCCTCTTTCCTTATATCTCTTCCATCCCTACTCTTACCTCCTCAAGACAAAAAAAGCAGTATGATGCTTTACAAACAGAATTGTGCACAGAAAGACTATCAGCAGAAATGTTTGCTTCAGTTGTCTACAGCTTGCACAAGATTTTTTGTCTAAACCACAGATTTAGAATAGGACTTGTACATTTTCTAATGCTGACTTCTTTCCAAGAATAAGAGTAGGCTTATGACGTGATCAATACTATGTAGAAAAATGGAATCTCACCATTCCAAGTTAGGTGTGTGTTTGGCAGCTCTTTGCAGAGCAGCTGAAAAAAGCTAGACCATTCATTTCAGTACAGTTCAGAGAGATAAAGATCACACACTTATAGTGCTGTTTCAGTGGCACATATTTCATGTTGGGCTGTGTATATCTCGAAGTTTCACATGAATTTTGTGGTCTCTACTTTTGAGCACAATAGATGTCTATCTTCTCTGTCAGTAACTGCTTTGGTTCAGCCAAAAAACAAAAAGAAAAGAAGCATTATTAAAAAAGAAAAAAAAAAACTTACCAATTTCCTCAGGAAGGTGTGTGAGAAGATTCTCTCCAAGCCCAAGGTGAGTCAGATTGGTAAGGTGACCGATACCTCTGGGAAGGGTGGTCAACTGATTATTAGTCAGAACCAATTTCTAAGGGAAAAAAAACCCACATTTTTGAAAATTAACTCGTGTCTTCAAATAACAGCAAATAACAAGATATATAGCTTATAAAGTGATGAATTCTGAATTCTACCCTCCTGCATTTGAAACAAAGAAACCTTCTGCTCTGCAACATCTCCAACCTTTACTAAACATAAAAACAAAGTAGCGCACAGTAAAACATACGCCTCCTGTCTTACATATGAAAGTTTCATGAACATGGCTGAAACCACACAAGCTATTCCTGTGGTAGAAGTGTACTCATAGTATAACATGGTTAAGCTCTTGAAAATTTGTTCAAAATTAACGGATTAATCTGTGGAAAGAATTAGTGGGGACAGACTGCAGAGGAAGCCATACAAGATTCTTAACTCTTGGTTCTATATCCAGTCCCATATCATTTCCCTCATCAAACTAGCTGTAATTAAGTTAGTATGGCGTAAATTAAGGACATAAAATGTTAATCTCTGCCAATTATTGTTTCACCTGCAGATCCTTGAGGTAAGCTATTTCATTTGGCAAGGATTCCAGTTTGTTTTCCTCTAGGTCTAGCTCTCGGAGTTTCCGGAGATTTCCAATTCCATGGGGAAGTTTTTTTAGGAGATTATTTGACAATATAAGAACCTTAAAAAAGACACAGAATGTCAGCAATGCAATAAGTAAATAAGAAGCCAGGATGTGTAACGAGATAGGATCTTTCTGAATTTTCAAGTAGTGAAGTCCAAGACTAGCCTGCATTCAACTTACGGAAAAGATGTAAATGCACACACACACACTTTTTAAGTCTTACTGGTACAAATACATAATTCTATTATATAATTTTTACAAATATTATGTTACATAATAATAATAAATGTAAGCCAAAAAACAAAGCACATCTTATTTGTTCAGGGAAAGTAAAACTACTTTTTTTTGTACTTCCCTATCACCTTTGTTACCCTTTCTCACAGCTATTTCAAAGCCATATTTTACACAGCTTGTTGTGATTGCCAGGTCCTCTTTGAAAAGCAACATGCTTCCTTTTTTCCCTGCATCTCTTTGGGTTGGAATAGCAGCAAGTAAATGTATGGGTCAGAGCACCTGGGCAGCACATTGCAAAGATATTCACTGGTCTGCTACTACACACTCACTTTTCCCCAAAGTGTTATCTTCTTTTATTTCTCCTTTCTAAATTGGAAATCTTGCGTTCAGGAAATGTATTCTTATTTGCAATGTCAATTAACAGAGTTACTCATTAAGCCACAACTCATACTAGTATACTGTTTTTCAACAAAGAAGTCCAGTATCCTTAGGGGGGAAAAAAAAAAATAAAAAAAAAAATAAAGCTTCATAACTACACAGCAAGCAGAAATGCAATCAATCACTGTCTAAACAATAGAATTATCTAGTGATTTAACAAGGCACACCAAGACACCAGTGTGTGAAAGTGCACCAGTGCAGATACTCATCCTGGCTAAGCCAGCCAGGGTTACAGACTGAGGATCTAACTATTCCAGTTTTCACTAGCTTCATGGAGACTGGAAAAACTGAGGGCAGGAAAGAACAGAAAACAAGGCTAAAATGAAAGTGAAAATCAAAGTGAATAAAAATAAAAAATTCAGCATTAGCATGAGCAGTATTATAGTGGCTTTCCATAATATGCTAAGACACATAATGGTTAGAATAATAATCTATATTCACAAGGCAGGAACAAAAAAATATTACCTATGTGCAGCACAGCTAACTTAGCACAGCTGTGGGAACCTCAACTTTAGAGTAAACATTGCCAAAATAGCTTTTTGTATTTGATTCCTTAATTACAGAGAAAGTTAGCAGTAATGGCTTTGTGGACAGCCCAGCTGTCCAGCTTCAGCAGCCAGCAGAGCACTTGCAAATCCAGCTGTCAGGTGTTAACACCTTCCCCATCAGCCAGAGCCTTAAAGAAAGCTGAACTGCTTAATAGCTACTGCTCTGTCATATCCTTTTGCCACAGCTCTAGGAATTATTAATCACTCAGAGCAGCCATCGCACTGGAAACCATCGATTTCAAACATGATATTTGCTGCTGTCCTTTAGCAGACTTTTTCCAGTGACTCACAGAGGCTGTGAAGTCCCCTCATGGCATGTCAGAGCTACCCGAACAAGGACCTCTGTCCTTACATCCCTCCAAGATGATTATGTTTGACTGTCTCTGCTGATGTTACCTTGGGAAACAGGACTAAGAGACTAGGCAGGTCTAGTTCATGACTTCCAAGTATAGAGCTCTTCTCCCTTCAGGGTTGAGATTTCCCACTCGGCTGCTTACAGGGTTCACAGTGCAGCCATCTCTGACTGCAGACCATTTCATTACGTTTTTCTGACCCCTTTGTTTCCATGCTGATGTCCCCAGGAATCAAACCCAGCTCAGTGCCATTTCATTTCCAGCACTTTCTGTTGAAAATATTTTCCTTTCCACACAGTTGAAAATACGTCTGCGCTTAACCCTTTGTGCACAGACATTCACCTAGAGCCTGAAGAAGAACATTCAAAAAGCCATTCACAACAACCACAGATAGATTAAAAACATCTATTCAAATAGCAGTTGTTCATATTCTTCTCACCTCAAGAGAAACAAGCCCAGACACATCCTCAGGGATCTTTGTGAGTTGGTTAGTAGCTAAGTTCAGTTCTACCATACTAGTCCAAGTCCCAAAGTCCAAGGGGAGAGAGGTCAGCTGATTGTCCTGAGATTTAACATAGCAAACAATTAGGGTCTGCATTTGCAAGAGACCAACAAGGCATTTGAGTGATTAAATTTCAAAACAAAATAGCAGCTAATTACATTAGAATAAAATGGTGACAATTGGTCAAATATCTTTTAATTCCTCAGAATGTAATAAGCAGTCCGAATTTACAGTTGCAGAATTGATTTTGTGTTATCAACAAGAACTGAAATGGAAAACTTAGAAGTACATAATTCAAAACATTTCATGCTCCAGCAGTTAAAACATTTTTCATTTTGTTACAGAATACAATGGAGAGAAAAAAGAATAGCAAATTCACCATAATGTACAAAACTGTTATCAGCAATGCTGAAATACAAAGAATACACAGAGCTCACTAGGAAAAAAAAAAAATCCTCCTCTTTCAATCTGTTTAAAAAATAAGAAGTCGATAAACAACATAAGCAAAGGCATTACTCAGGGCTCTGACTTGGCTGAGCTGGGACACAAGGAGCAGCCAGCAATGCTTCACAGCTCAGCCTGGAAACAGTAGATACATGGGGCTTAGGAGAGTAAAGAGAGAAAAAACAGAAGGGAAATACACCTTAATGACTGAGAATAAAAGCATCTTAAACTAAACATCCTTGTGCTCAAAACGCTGCTATATTTGATCTAGATCAGACACCATGAAGTAATATCTGTATGCATGTAGGTATGTATGTCATACAAAGTACTGGTAAATGTGAAATTACAGATGGCTAAATGATTTTCAAAAATAGTAATAAGGCAAATTGAGAATCCACGTGTGTCAAAAAATATTTAAAAAATAGTTGCCGAGCATAACTACTGCTCAAACATCCTTTTTTTAATAACTTGTTTTAAAAACTTCAAACCAGCCCATTCATTGAAAGATGTCACCTCTTTTCCCAGGTTCTCATCACTCTGTGTACAGAGCACACACATAAAGGTCCTCTTTCCTATGTGCTTTACAGCCACTGCCAAAATCCTCCAAACTTAGACTTTGAAATAAAATATTCCAAAGATATTTTACATAATTTTGTTTTTAGCCTAAACTGAAACAGTGCAGAGAGGAGGAAAGAAACGTGTTACTCTGCATGCTCATGCCCTATTTGAACACTAGAGAACTTTGCAGCCCACGTCGTTGCTGTTCATATTCCTGCAAACACAACCGTGTAAGGAACAAAAATGAAGACAGATCAATAACAGTGTGACAGTACATTTTTTAAACTAATCCAGAATTGCTTCTGTATCTAAGGGCAGCAGTGTCTACTCAATCGTGATAAATTCATTCCTTAAATCATTACGCTTGCCAGAATTAATGGAATAGGAAACAGTGCTCCTCATTGATTTTTACAAACTGTAGCATGTTTCTGTGCCTCACCTTCATGTTCAGCTTACTTAATACTTTAGCTCTAGAGAAAATTCCAAAGGGGATTTTATTGATGCGGTTGTGCTCCATGTTGAGAGAGTAGATTGTGGAGAACTGGGACGGGCCACCCACAGGATAGGACTGGAAGCAGTTCCTGGCCAGTGTTAAACTAGTCAGCTTGACAAGGCTGGATAAAAGACCCTGTAGAGAGAAGAAAACCACCCAGGAACTTAGGACAGATTTATTTGAATACATCTCTTTTTCCTCATGGGTCTAATTAGAAATGCTATCCCCCAAGTCTCAATGAGCATTGCAACACCCAAACCACTGTTAAATCTGATAAAACTTCCAAGAGCAGCAAACTCCCCTTGCAGTTTGTCAGCCTGCACCTTGTTTCCTCAGGTCTGCTTATATACTTCCAGATATCAGAAAAGCAAACATTTCGCACCTGAAAGCTCAGGAGGTTTTGTAACTTTCTTATCCTCCAAATGGAATTTTTTAATAACACATTGCTACCTCTTGGGCAACTCTGGCAGCAGTGTGCCCATTCTCATATTCAGGCTCTGAAAGAGCATGGCCTGCACTGCTGAGCTGAGCTTCCCTTAACCTTGCTCACAAATGACAGCAAGGCCCACAGAACCACCAGACCCAAGCACGATTTCTCGAAGGTGTATTTGATATTTCAAATTCCAATCTTTGTAATTTAATAACAACTCATGCTGTGAATGCATCTGGTAGAGGTTTCTTTTCAGGCTACAACATTTTCAGATAGCTGGACAGTCTAGAGAAGAACGCAGAAGCTTTTGGAAATTCCCTTTTTTTTTTTTCTTTCTTGTTTCCAAAATACCCCTAAATAGTTATTGCTCCACCTGTCTTGTCTTCAAAAATAAAAAAGCAAAACCCCAGAGCCAATCTGGAGAGCAATGATTGCCCACTGAGTCGACTGGCTCTTTGTGCCCCTTTCATAATCCAAGCAGACTCTGAAATTTCAGCAGCAAGGATCACAGAGTTTATGTTAGATACGTGCCAAGCACGCTGCTGGAACCATAGGGATGAATAATGAGAGCTAAATTACTGCTGAAGTGTCACCTTGGCTTATTACTATGCCAATTTGAATTCAGCTCCATTTGCTTAAGTATTACAGAAATTGGAGATTTATGCATGGCATTACATACCATAAATAATGCAACATCTGCAATCAGGAAAGAGTGCTAACAGGATAATGATTCCAACTCTATTTCCAATATCAGTATTTCTGAACTGCTCTACGTGCACTGTAAGAACTTTAAGAATACGGTTTTGTTGCTTTGATCAGAGAAGATTGGGTAATTTTCCTGTTCTAAGTTTATTAACATTACTGTTAGTAAAATGGGATTTAATAGGAATTTTCTACATGTCATGGCTAAAACATTTTAGCACTGAAATATAATTCTGGGGACATCTCAGTAAGTGTCAATGAAGCAATTCTGCCCCAAAGACAAAATAAAGGATTGTTAAATCAGTCATTAAAATCTAATCATTAACTAGTACAATCTTTGATTAGGAAATACTCCTTCTAGCTGTACTTCCTTTAATTAACTGATATTCTTTGTCCTAGGATTAAGCAGTCCCTGAGCTCTGTCACAAAAATACTTTAAGGCTTCAGATGGATCTTGGCATTTCCAGAAGCCATTTTTTAGAGCCTGCATCCATGCAAAAAATATTAGAAATATGTTAGCTAACACACTCTACCAGCCTAGATTAATTAACCACATTTGAAGGAAAGTAAGAGAGCTTTGGCAGTGCAAAAAGACAATGCTCTTATGTCTATGAAATCTGTAGCAGTGCTGCCTTCTCCCAATCTATCCTTTTAAAATAAAATATTTATTAGGCGTTGTGTCAGCAACCTCAGTTATGTTTGGAAATTCCAAAGTTTCTTTTACAAACACAGTTCTTTATATTATAGCAAGGAATGTTTTATTTTAAACAGATTACAGTATGAATTATACACTTCTGCAAGTTAGCAGCTTAAATGTTAAGATATTGTTGGCAAATATGTGAAGAAGGCAGCATAGTCTCTAGAAGTTTTGTATTAGGATTGAACGCATTTCAAAGCAAGTAATCACTCCCACATTATCCTTCTGTGATTACACTGTAGTTGCTTTTATAGTATGTATGGGTGGGATGGGCTAGCTTAGCTCTTATATTGAAAGCAGCCTGGTGGCTCTCACTTATTTGCATTTTCCTAAATGACAGTTACATCCAAACACTTATTAAATTCTCTGTTTCTTAGGGCTGTGTTTCAGGGAATTCCTGAGGAATAAAGAGGAACAAAGATGCACTCTCCACCTCAGAGTAAATGTGTTGCCTGAACAGAAAATGTGGCTCCACAACTTCTAAATCTACAGTCCTTTTCTTTGCTCATGCACTAAAGCAAAAGAACAGGTAAAACAATCAAGGACAGCAATCATGGAAAGAAAAGCACAAAAACTGATTCTCTTCCCCTTTCTCCTGAGATCTTTGCAGTCACTGCAAATTGTAAGAAAAAAAAAAAACTGTACAATTTTTTTTTATTTTTCATAGCTCAATAAATGAGCATCAATGAGTTGCGGGATGATATCAGATGCATGCCAACTGCATACTCTCTTTCCAGGTTAAAATGAGAATGCTACGGCAAAGTATCCTTAGCAGGCTTTATCCATTCTTTAAAAATCATTCCTGACTTAACTAAATGCTGATAGAGATATCCCTTTTACTTTTCCCTTTTCTACATCTTCCCCACCTTCATGAAACACTTTGTATCCATGACAGGGAGCTGGGCTTCTTATTTAAGGTCTCCTGAAGAGACTCAGGACAGCAAATACAATCACACCTGCTAGTAGTCCCACTTCTGACAGAAGTCGTGTGACATGCATTCTTCCACACAAGTTATATACATCTAACATGTACAGAATTGTTATTTTTCATGTTACACATGTAGATTTAGGTGGAAGTTTTTCCACACAGAGGGTGGTGAAGCACTGGAACAGGCTGCCCAAGGAAGTTGTGGATGCCTCATCTCTGGCTGCATTCAAGGCCAGGTTGGATGTGGCGCTGGGCAGCCCGGTCTGGTGGTTGGCGACTCTACTCAGGGCAAGGGGGTAGAAACTAGATCATCATTATGGTCCTTTTCAACCCAGGCCATTCCACGATTCTACGATTAGAACAAATGGCATTCCTCAGAATTGCAAGGCAAGATGAAATTATTTTATATGTTCCAATGCCTCTAAAAACTGAGACCCCTTCCAACACATTCTCTCCAAATCCACTCCATCTCTCACCTCTGGTAAAGTAGAAATATTGTTGTTCTCCAGGTTCAGTTCATCAAGTTCACTGCATTTTGCTAAAGACTTCGGAATTGCTGACAGCCTATTGTACCTCAGGCCAAGACGACTTAAACTGGATAGATTTCCTACAGGGAGGAAGCAGTGATTAATACATTAATACATAACACCGAGGAACAGAACGAGATTTGATTTCTGATTCTTCTGCTGTCTCACACTCTACACTTCACAGCTTTCAAAGGGTGAAATGGGGCTATCATTCCCAAACAGGGTGCTCATAGTTTACAGTGCTTTCCAATGCTAAGATCAACTATGCAGTAGAAGTACATTGTTCATACCACGTATTCTTAACTTGCACGTGGTCTGGTAAGCAAGGAATGTCTACATCATCTTGAAGAAGTATTCTCTTCTGATCTTTTCACCAGCAAAGAACTCTAAATGTTTTCCAGTTACCCTAAAATATCTTTACCATCCTCCAGAAGCAACAGTCTTTAAAAAGTGATAGGAAAAAAAATTCTTCCAAGTTTTTCAAATCATTTAAGGAAAAGTCTGGAGGATGTCCTTGGAAATATGGACAATAAGACGTTTTTTAAAATATATTTTTTGAATATTGCCAGGCCAACAGTTCCAGTTGACATATATGCGATTTAAAAAAAAATAAAATCTAAAGGAGCTTTCAACTTAAGGATGTCTTCAGCCTTTCCAGCACTGGAGCATTTGGTACTCTCCTGCAGGTAAGAAGGTATTGAATTTCACTGAAATGTCAACTGGTACACAGTACAAAGAACAATGCAAAGTCTTCTGACTCAGTCATATATTAAAAAGCATTTGTGCACAAGTGCACATTTGAATAGCAGAAGGTTCTAAAGAAATCCACATAATCAATTCTTGCAAAACATTCCTTGTTTTATACTTTTACAGCCACTCACGGAACAACATATTTCTTCCACAGACTGAAATACCAGAAAGATAACAGTAGGAAAGAAATAGAAGGTTTAACTGCAACAAGAATAATCAGAAGGTTTTTTGTAAAAATATGAAGGGAGCTTTCTATGCATAGTCTAAGTAGTTATGCATTAACTGAAGGATAAATGAACATCTATACATGCGTACTTGTACAGAGGTTACTGGAACACAGCAAAGAAACAAATGTAGCATATGAAACTTGGAAGCAGCATATTAAACTAACTATATGGAAAATAGAGAATGAAAAGTAATACAAATGATGCAATGAGGTCCACTAGACAAGGGAAGAATCTCACCAAAGGAACTGGCAAAATATCTTTCCTGGACTTCTCTGGATTGGTCAATCTATACTGTAAAAATGACCCTGCATCACTGAGCAGCTAGACTGGGTGCATACCTAATAAGAACTGAACTTTGGGAATGTTTGATGGTTTCAGAGCTACTAAAATGGAGATTCACAAGAACAGTGGAAAGGAAAAAAACATCAAAAAAGCTTTCCACGTTAAAAAAAAAAAAACCCTTCAGGCCTTACAAATCAAGAGAGAAGTTGTCAGTACATATCTGATAGCAAGCTAACAAGCTTAGCAACTAATTTCACTTGGTACTGTCAATAATGAAATCAAAACTCAAACAGGTACCACATGAGCTGCTTACCCAGCTCTATCTCCCACTGGGATTTGTATTTTTAAGTGCTTTCTTTCCGAGCAAGTACGTAATTTGCTTTTGCAGAAGCAGCAAACTATTCCCTTAATCAAAAAAGGCATCTAAAATTTAAGGTTATCAATATTGCTCTCTAGTACACAAATATTCATCTTCTGATGTTAAATCCTAGAGTACATACACGTACAAGAGTAATTAAGAGCTGCTTGATCCTATAATTCACCAATATCGATATTCCTATGTGAAGTGGGATATTTCATGCCATATTCAGTACAACCTGTTTGCATAGGAACCTGTCCTCACCTCAAGAGATTCACATTCTATTGTAAGGAATGGAGAGCACGAGGATTCACTGATCTAGGGATGAACAAAGCATACCCTGACTGCCCTTTTCTGAATTAGCTTCTAACAAACACTTCTCTTAGTAAACGTGACAAGCTTTACACAAATAAGGTAATAATTCATTCTTTTTCAGCACGTAAAGCTTGAGCTAGGCTCCAGTATTGATTTCTCAGGCTCCCCCCAAGAGTACAAGCAGGGCACACGGCTCTAGCAGCCAGCATGCTGCCAACTGTTGCTTAGCAATACGACGTCGCTGTGCTGACTCCAGATTGCGAGCACAGGTTGCATGGCTACAGCTCTGCTCTGTTCCTACAGCAATGTGGCATTTCAGAAAAATGCAACGAGGCAGCCATCGTGAAGTCAGATCCTTCACTCCTCACTGGGGACGTACCACAGTGAGCAATCCTTTCATTTCCAGGCATTCACTTTTGCTGCCCAAAATTGCACTGTTGCTAGAAGGGGCCCCAGAGGAGCTGAAGAATGCTGCCACATCCCTCAGCCAGCCCTGCAGTCACCTCATTGCCCCTCTGCCTTCTCCAGTTTGGTTACTGATGCCTTTTTTGGAGCCACATGAAGCTCTCCACTGACACGCAGTCAGGCTGCATATTCTGCAGGGTTGGTAACAGCTGATCATGATCCGTTCAGTCAGTTACATGATGAAGATCTTCTGCAGTTGCGTTTCTGCTGCTGAAATCATACCTCAGTGGTTGCTCTTCAGCAAGGTGGCAGGCAGGGTGACTCAGAAGAAGCAGAACTAGATGTTTGCAAATGTGACAGTCAGATAACCACAATTTTTTTCAGCTACTGGCAGAAAAAAAACGCAAGTAAAAGCTCTTCCAATTTGTTTTCTTAGGAAGCGCACTTAGAAAAAAGCTCTTGTAAATTGAATTGCCCCATGAAAAGATACTTCTAAAGTATCACACTATAGACTGACTAAACCCTAAAATCAAGCCAGGCATAAGCAAGTATGAACAGCTGCCCCTGGGAGTCCCATTTCACATCACCACCTCTGCAGCAGCTCTGTTGGACTTCATCACAATTAAGGCACACAACATCCAGCAGCACATCTCCTTGCCTCTCAGTGCTCAGCTCCATCATTTCCTCAGAGAGAAGACTAAATTGAAGCAGAACACCATGCTTATCCACACATTTTTGGAAAGACCACATGAAGCAGTTTTCTAATTAGGAACAGCACATTTCTTTCTTGAATATTTCAGAATCAAGAGAAATGGGCTGTGATGGATCAAATAAGATAAAGAAATCCAAATTCCTATTCCGAAGTCCTACTACCACCTTTAAAGGAGTTGAAACATGCTCTCTCATTTGAAATTCATCATTCATCTCTTCCTCCCTTAGTTAAAATAATTCTTCAGATCCCCTGTCCTCAGATGAAGGGTCACTACTTAGCACAAAATACTACTGCATCATTACTAAAAGATGGAGCCATTACTCTGATTTATGCTACTTAGCTTGCATCAAGCTAACTTGCTAGCCCAAACATACAGATCAATTTAAAATCTGTTCAATAGAAGAAAAAAGAAAAAAAAAGCATTTTGCAGGTAACATTAACACACAAATTGGACTGACAAGAGCTTGCACCTTAAAAACCCTTAAGACTATGATAAAAGGCATAAAGAAAGTTCTTCATGGAGCAGATATTCACAAGAACATTCTACAAACATGACATTAGTAAGTACTTTTCTAATTTGATACATATTCTCAGATTTTTATTTGACTAAACCCCACAAACAGCAGGTAGCCACCTGAGAAACAGCCACCTTGCTATTACTATCTATCATTTCATAGAGCTCAGTTCACTTGATTCCCTGAGGAGTTTTTCTTCTCAGGAAAATGAATTCTTTTGCATACAAAAGGTACCAGATGTCGTTGATTAACTTTAAAACACCACATTGAATTAATTTTGCATAAAATAACTACAATGACAGTACAGAAGAAAAAGCCACAAGAGGTTCAGTGAGCACGTTAAAAATTATTATAATACCCAAAGCAGGTGGGAATAAGGGCCATAGAAGAACTGAAAACTTCACAGGAGAGATTGGGCAAGCTAGAAATGGCCAACTGAAGACAGATTAAACACTGTGTTCAAATGTTTCAGCAGTGCTTGGAACCTAAAATAGCCACAAGGCGGGCTGGAAGATGCCTGTGTCACACTCTGCACTTATCATTATTAGTTTTCCCAGATGTCAGCCATACTCCACGACAACTGTTGAACAGTTTCACAGATTTTTAGGTGAAAGGAGCTGTCGACATGTTTAATCTAATTTCTTGTCAGAAAGCAAAACATTTCTCCTGATAGCTACAGAGTAAAACGAAAGGCTTCAGCTAAAACGTTTCAATCTCCACGCCACTGGATGTCCAGCACTGCTCCAGCAAGAAGCTGGGCAGGCAAGAAGCCCTGGATGTGAGCTCAGTAAGCTCTCTGCAGAGGAACGCAGAACACAATCCCACTGTTGTTCTCATCTGATCTGTGGGCGACTCCTCCCTAAACCAAAGCCCATGGACTTGTATGAATGTAAGCACACTTTACCCAAGAAAGGTCAAATGCTTTCTATAACCTGCAGGGTTGGAACGTTCCTCACGTTTAAGATACCTTCTGCCTAAATACTGATGCTTTAGGAAAACTGCAGATGGGGAACAAAGGTGATTTAAGGAGTGGGGGGACATTAGGGCAGCAGTAGTGGAGAAGAAAAGAGAATCCTTCCTAACCACTGCTAAAAATTGTGAAAGCCAAAGCAAGAAATATAGTTGTATTTTTCAAAATGTATTTTTCAAAAAGGTACAGTGAGCTTAAGACCACTGAGCAACACACAGTTTGACTTACAGACTCTGGATTTTACTGGCTTGATAGCAACATGACTTGAATGTATTGTTATTTTTCTTTCTGGCCACCAATGCCTCCTGATGCACGAGGACAGTGTAGGAGGCAGATTCGGGCTTCCAAGTTACAAAGTCGACAAGCTCCACTGTTTCTTGCTCTGTTCAAACCAAAGCTTATTATCCCATTTACAGGAAGCCTAGAAATTCTCTAAAAAGACACCCACCTATTAAAAAACTATCTAACATCACTTTAAAATGCATCTCTACCATCCTTATTGAGTTAAATGCCACTTGGAGAGAGCAAAGAGATTCCTGCCTATTT